GTGGCCAGTTGGGATCAGGTTGTCTGGGGACTCCAGCTGCTGCACAATATAGCTGGCAAGGTGTTGAGGTCTGGCAGCTCTGATCCTGGTCTGTGTCCTGGCGCTGGTTCCAAAGAACTTCCTTTTGGAGCCCAGTTTATATAGTGAAACTTGAATCCTGCGCTTAGCTGTACCTTAACCAATCATTTGACTAGAGTATTACAAAATAATTCTTTTATCAATTGAAACAATTCTTTAGTTGATTTAAATCTTGCCAAATTAGTTATGCAACAGACAGAAACAATACAGATAAACAATAGAGAAGTAGGGACCCTACAGGTAAAACAATAAAGTATAGATTTCACAACTGCTGATAACTGATTTCTTGCCAGACAGAATGCAATCAAACAAAGTTTTCTTTAAACATCTTAAGATCTGTTTCTTTATCTGGTGATGGTGGGTACTATTAGGCCAGGATCGCCTTCTTAACAGCCTGATATTACATTGTTTTGACATAATTTAGAGGGAATGTGAAGATGTGACTTTCTGCTTCTTGGCTCATAGCTGCTGCTGTCCTAATGTACAGAAGAAAAAGGCCTCAGACCTTACAACTGTGTGAAGTATAGGGTTTCCAGGTGTCTGGTTTTCGACCAGAAAGGGTACGTCTTCACTACCTGCCGATCCGGCGGGTAGCAATCGATCTATCGGGGATCCATTTATCGCGTCTCATCTAGAAGCGATAAATCGATCCCCGTCGACTCCGGAACTCCACCAGAGTGAGAGGCGGAAGCAGAGTCGACGGGGGAGCCGCGGCCGTCAATCCCGCGCCGTGAGGACCCAAGGTAATTCGATCTAAGATACGTTGACTTCAGCTACATTATTCTCGTAGCTGAAGTTGCGTATCTTAGATCGATCCCTCCCCCCCCCAGTGTAGACCAAGCCTAAGTCTGGTTGAAAAGGGGACCTGACAGTGTTTGGTCAGACTGACCGAACACCCAAAATCCAGTTACTGCGAGCAGGTGAGGCAGGGAGGCGCCAGGTCATCACCTGTGCCATCCCCTATGCAGCCGGAGCCACCTAATAATAAATGGAGATATCCTATCTCCTAGAACTGGAAGGGACCTTGAAAGGTCATCAAGTCCAGCCTCCTACCTTCACTAGCAGGACCAAGTACTGATTTTGCCCCAGATCCCTAAGTGGCCCCCTCAAGGATTGAACTACAACCCTGGGTTTAGCAGGCCAATGCTCAAACCACTGAGCTATCCCTCCCCTCCGACACCTCCTGCCTACATTGAGCAGCTGCAGCTCCCAGCCCTAGCTCTGGGATGAGAGGAGAGGAGAGGAGAGGAGAGGAGAGGAGAAAAGCAGCGAGCGACCTGGGGGAGGAGGGAAGAAGAGCAAATGGTGGGCGAGGCCTAAGGGGGAAGAAGCAGGGCAGGGGCTCCAGCTCTGCTCACTCCAGCCCCCCTCCCTCTGTCGCTCGCTCTCCCCCACCCTCATTCACTCGCTCATTTTCACCAGGCTGCGGCAGGGGTTGGGGTGCGAGAAGGGGTGAGGGCATTGGCTGGGGGTGTGGGCTCTGGGGTGGGGCCAGAGATGAGGGGTTTGGGGTGCAGGAGGGGACTCTGGGCTGGGGAGTAGGGCTGACGGATTCGGAATGCGGGATGGGGCTCTGAGCTGAGGCAGGAGGTTGGGGTGTGAGAGGGGGTACGGGCTCTGGGCTGGGGATGTGGGCTCTGGGCTGGGGCCAGAAATGAGGAGTTCAGGGTGCGGGAGGAGGATCCGGGCTGGGGCAGGGGGTTAGGGTGCGGGTGTGTGTGTGTGAGAGGGTACGGCTGGTTGTACGGGTGGGGTGGGGATGAGGGGCTTGGGGTACAGGAGGGGGCTCCAGGCTGGGGGGGTTGGAGTGTGGGAGGGGGTTTTGAGCTGGGGCAGTGGGTTGGGGCGCAGGCTCCAGGAGGGACTTTAGGTGTGGGAGGGGGCTCAGAGCTGGGGCAGAAGGTTGGGGTGCAGGGCTCCAGGTGGCGCTTACCTCAGGCAGCTCCTCGCAAGCAGTGACATGTCCCTCGGCTCCTAGGCTTCTGGGCAAAGGCGCATCCAGGGAGCTCTGCGCACTGCCTCCACATGCAGGCACCACCCCCACAGTTCCCATTGGCCACAGAACCCCCATGACCGTCCGTCTGTCTAGGAGTCAAGAACATGTCACCGCTTCCAGAAGGCCCGCGCCAACCGGACTTTTAACGGCCAAACCGCCAGGGTCCCTTTTCGACCAGGCATTCTGGTCGAAAATCGAATACCTGGCAACCCTATTTACAGTTGGGAACTTTACTGAAGCACAGAGAGATTAAGGAGAGATTGTTAAAAGTTGTCACTAATTTTAGGTACCCACTTTGAGAGAGAGTACACGGCATTTTATATATTCAGGCATAGCTCCTATTGATTTCAGTTGTAGCTGTGAGTGTTCAGCACGTCTACACATCAGACCCAGGGCTGGCTCCAGGCACCAACCCAGCAAGCAGGTGCTTGGGCGGCCCCTGGAAG